ACATTTAGCATTTAAGCCGTAAATATGACAGATGGGTCAGTGTGCCTTACTAGCTCCAAGTACATAATTAGCCATGAATGAAATGGTACAAATTTACTTTGAAAATATCATAGCCTAAAATCTCAGTCAGATTTTACTGGGAGGATTTCCACCATGATTTTAGAAAGCAATCGAAGCTTATTTTTATTGCAAAATCCTAAGAGTGCAATTCCTGGCAGTGTTTACCAGAGAGAAGGAATTAGCAGCCTCCAGGGAGGGCTAGGAAAACAGAGCACCCCTGGGAATCAAGCTCCTAAGTTTCAGTTCCAGTGGCTTCCACACCAGCTGGCAGCAGACAGATCCCACTTCTTGGTGATCCCTGCCCCCCTTGTCATTCTTACATGCGTGGCAGCGGGGAGGGGGGTAGGTAGGAGGATCAGGCTTGTTTCCAGAGGGTCTTGAGAGTATGCAGGAGGCGTCTGGAGTCTTTTCAAAGATAAAAAACACAAGGGCTTTTGTGCTTTGAAATCCACGGTGCTGGCTCATGGTCTGCAGAGGGAGGAAGGAGATGGGTTTCTCTTTGCTTCTCGTCTTCTCCTCCTGGTGCACAGTGACCGTTGGCGGGAGAATGGAGGGCTGAATGGGCCGTGTGTGTGACTCACAGGGCAGGGCCTGATGGCCCTTTCATCTCAAGGTGAAAGCACAGAGGGAGCCTGGAGCTGGAGGAACAGATGGCAGCGTCGTTGCCGCTACACTGCTCCCGGCTGTGCGTGTCCTCACCCCACGGCCGGCGGAGCCCTTTTCAGACTGTGCAGGTCACAGAGCAATAACCAACTCGGAAGAGCAATCTCCTGGAGGCGGCTGGGCACACCAGAGTACCTCCTGATGGCCGTTTCCTGCCAAAAACAGCCTCAAGGAAAGGTGACTGGGCTCAGGTCTTCTAGGAAGTGCAGATCCTCTTCAGAATTCAGTCCCCTACTATTCAGCCAAATCCATAGATATCACAGAATTTTAAAAAAAATGAACAACTGGGTCTTTGCCCTAGGTGTAGAAGATTGGAGAGGATTAGGGGACTAGTTAGGAAGTGGCTGGGAAAACAGGGTACTGTGCACATTCTCCTGTGGTCTTTTGCAAATACTCTCTTCTTTTGCTTCCTTAGGGATATTCAGGGTCACTATTTGTTGGGGTGTTTTTTTTCCCCACAAACATTTAAGTTAGCCTTATCTATTGCTGGAAAATAATACTTTTTTCCCTTGTGTATAAATATATATTGGGGTTGGTACTACTATATCTAGTTCTAAGGTAATAAGGCAGAAAAGACAAGTTCTTCCATTTGTCTTTTATATCAACTACAAATACAACGGGGCCCAGTGCTAGGGTCTGTGTTACTGCAACAGAGCTCAGCAGAAGCGGTTCTCTTCCCGCCAGGGCTTCTGAAGTTGTGTTGTGCTTCTCTGCTATTTAGTAGTGTCCCATGTCCCAGGGCAGCTCTGACTACAGTGACAAACTTTATACTTCAAGTTCTGAAGTTCAACGTTGAGATTTTTGTCAACATCAATGAGATGTTTTCCAAAATGCGTTCCATGTAATACTTGCTCCATTGTATGGTAATAGACGATGTGTGGGGAAATTTCAAGATCACCCTAGTGTAGAAAACAGAGCTGAGCAAAGTTAGGCAGCTGCTTTAATCTCAGAGCCCTTGATATGGCTGTGTGCATTGTAAATCTCCAAGAAGAAAGTATATGTGCTCCTTTGCCCAAGTTTATTTAATCACAGACGCTTCTTGTTTGGTTTTGGTTTTTTTGGCAAAGTGTCACAGGTGACTAACATTGTACAGAAAAATTAACGTGCTGCGTCAGAATCCTTCCATAGAAAGTACTATATTGATTAAATATGTTCCCGCTTGTGAGAGATACAGAAACACACAGAACGGTGAGGTTGCTTTGTGAATTTTTCTATCCCACCAGAAGCCATTAGCCCAAAACTATAACATAGTAACTGAGAAGACATGCTCCCACTTTATTCAGTGATTTTTGGTTAACAAATATGAAAGCATATTCAAATATTGTATCAATGGTACATTTGCTTCAGTCGGTCCAGCAATCAGGACTTTTTTTTTCCATGGTCAGGTGGTATGATAGAACCACGTGGCAGGGTTAGGTCTTCCAGACACCTTGTGATCTCAATGTGTGTGGTATTTCGAGTGAGGCTTTCCCAGCCTCAGGACTGTCGACACTTTGTGCTGGGTCATCTTTATTACTGGTGGTGGGGGAGGGGCATCCTGTGCCTTGTAGGGTGTTTAACAGCATCCCTGGCCAATACCCACTAGATGCCAATAGCACCCACCTCCCGGTAGTGGCAACCAGAAGTGCCTGCAGACATGCCATGTGTCCCCTGGGGGACAAGATTGTCCCTGAGTTGAGAACCACTGATTAAGGGTTGAGGTGGGTATTACCAACCACAAGCGAGTTCACCAAAGCAAGAAATCCGAGTGGACTGATGTCCAGGTGGAGGCTCTGGGTGACGAGGCCAGTTTGGTTAGTAGAAGTCAGGAAAGAAGAAACCCTGAGTGGGTGGGACAACAGGAACATGGGCAGAGGGAGGGGAGGAAGAGGAAGGGTACTGGCTTTTTGGATAACAACAATAATAACATCTCTTATTCACTTACTGTGTGCCAAACCTTGTGCCAGTTATGGGATTTATCTATTTAATCTTCCCAAGATAGGTACTATTTATCTCCATTTGGCAGAAAAGGAAACTGAGGCTCCATGGGATTAGACATGAGTCTCGTGGATAGTAAGTGTCGGGGTTAGGACTTGAAACCAGGTCTCTTCTAATACATGACTGAGTTAAAATGATATGAGTTAGAAATATTGTTGGGTAAGGTTAAAGAATGTTAAATTGTAGATGGAAGTGTCCGGGCTTAAGGTGACGGGCTACGTAAAATAATGGCAGAGTCTTCCGCAGGGGAGTGATGTGGCGAAAAGGGCATCATGTTAGGTTCATCTGGTAGCAGCAGCCATGAAGGAGGGACAGGGTTGGTTGCAGGTGGGTGGGGTGGGGTGGAGCTCAGCAAGCTTCAGTAATACAGGTGTGGGGGCTCGGGGCTTGGCCAAGGGTGGTGACAGCAGGATTGGTGAGGCAAAGGGACATCCAGGCAAAGGAAGAACCAATCAGAGAAGTGTTTCCTGACAACTGGCGACAGAGCCCAGAGCAATGGTGAGCAGCTCCTCGGCATGGAAAGGGCACAGGTGTAAGCAGGAAGCAGGGCAGAGCTCAGGCTATGGGGGATGGGCATGGAGTGCAGTATGAGTCTGGGCTCACTTAAAGACTGAAGTTTTGGTTCATCTCCATGACTCACCTTTAATTTTGTAATAGCAAACACTCATGTTACTCTTATTGTGAGCCTGGCACTGTTCTTTGCATTTTGCATATATTAGTTCACTTATTACTCACAATGACCTCTGGATATGATTCCCATTTTGCAGATGGGGAAACCAAGGCTTAGAGAGGTTCAGTCACTTGCTCTAAGTCTGGTTCCAGAGCCATGCCCTTTTAGTACACTGCTGTGCAGCTTCTTGAGCACCTTATTAACGCTCACCTGCTAGGCCACTTTTGGCAACTTTTATCTCCTGTTGTTGCTGGGAATCTTAGGCCCTTCTTGGTTTTCTCATCTATGAATTGCAGGCGCTGAACTTGTAAATCCCTTTTAGCTCTGCGAATAATAAGTTCTACTTTTTGAACAAACCAGAACATAATTCTGTTATTCCAATATAATAGAGACCTTTTTCTTAAAAAGAGAGATGGAATTTCAAAAGTCTTCCTTTTTGAGGCCTTATTGACATGGGAAAAGACACTCCTTCCCTGAGGTCATATGGGACCCTGGGCACAGTCCACAGAAGGCCATTCTGCTGTGTGTGCACCTTACTTTGTTCTGCTTGTCTCTCAACTCCTGGAGGGCAAGACCGCGTTTTATTCATTTTTGTATTTCTTGGGCATAACTTGTTACCAGTAGACGATCAATAATTTTCTCTTTTCCCCCTGTTTTGTTTTTGCTTTTTAATGATTTCAGACTGTGAAGAAATCAGATTTAATAAGTCTCACTTGTACAACATTGCCTTCATTCAGGTAGAATTTTTTCTAAAGAAAAGCTTATTATTATTATTATTAGCCCTCAGAATGGCTACAACCCTAGAAGTAGGGAGTCATGCTGAAATGAAATGAAATGAAATGAAGCTACTTAGCTAGGAGTATAATGTTGAGTTGGCATTACTTACTGCTGAAGAGTTGAGGCAAGTGTTGGCAAACTTTTTCTGTAAAGGGCCAGATATAAATATGTTAGGCTTTCTAGGCTTTCACCATATGGTCTCTGTTGCAGTTACTCAACTCTGCCGTTGTTGTGCAAGTGCAGCTATAAGCAATACATGAATGAATGAGAATGGCTGTGTTCTAATAAAACTTTATTTACAAAGAGAGGCCATAGGCCAGATTTGAACTGAGGGTCATAGTTTGCCTACCCTGGTGCACTCTCAAGTGTGACAGAGAGAATGGGACACAGGCCCCAGATATGCCACTTGCTAGTTGGGTGAACTTCATCCAACAGAGCCTCAGTTTCTGCATCTGTGAAATGGTGAATCTGACAGCATCCACGTTTAGAGTTGGTGCTAGGATTAAATGAGATAGTATATTATAAAGTTCTTGGCACTGACCCTAGCATATAGTGCTCTCAATATTATTGTTATTATAAGTATTATTTATATATTCCTCCTGGTTTTAACTCCTTCTTGCTTTTCATTATATTAAATGAATTCACCTTGAATTCATGCTTGCGAGTACTAGCAATGTTTTCTTTGCAGTCCTCCTTTCCTATGTCAAGAACTCATAAGAAAAACATCTGTAGTTCCTGCCAACTATAATAGAATTGTTATAAAATTCATGTGAAGAAACTTACTCGGTGCCTGGCACATAGTACTCTATATAGTGTAGCTAACAGGAGGAGGAAGAAAAATTGGAAACATAAATTTTGAAAATAAAGAGTATAAAAACATTCTTTAGAAATTTGTGAAATTTCAATGAAATAGGAATTCTGATTGGGGGGGGAAGTTTAGTATTCAGTGTACATAAATAGCTTAGTTTTTTACATTTGAAATCAATTAATTGCCTGGCTCTGATAATTAGGGATTTCCTGAAGTGGAATCCATTGCTCATAAACCAGGAATGTTAAAACCAGTCAAGCCATTTGCTTTGCAAAATGATCTGTTTATAGTATAGCTGAAACAAGATAAATCACACATGCAAAACAGCTGTCTGTTGGTAGTGAAGAATAGTCTCTGTTCTACATATTAAGAATACTCATTATAGATAGTCATTTGTGTGCCGGGGCAATGATCATTCAGTAATACATAGACGTGAAAGCAGAACTTACTCGACTAGGCCTAGCCTCTTTGGAACTATGTGTTCTGAGGCGCAGAGAGCAGGATTTACTAGTACTGTGACATTTGGAGCCAGGTAACTCTTTATTATGGAAGACTATGCGTTGCAGGTTGTTTAGCAGAATCCTAGCCTCTACCCACTAGATACCAGTAAGAATGCCCCACCGCAGTTGTGACAATCAAAAATATTTCTAGATATTGCCAAATGTCTTGTGGGAGGCAAAATTGCCTCCGGTCAAGAACTACTGATATAGACTGATGATCTAATAGTGCCTCGTGATATTATGTGCCAACTTATCGAAGCAATAATGACATTCCTATTGTAATACATGCAGGATTTCTCAGGATAATCTTAGTTTCAGATATTCTGCCCCACTCACCCACCAGATATACCTTGGAAACCCACTTATCCTGACATTTTTCTATTTGAAAATATGGTGACCGTCCCTATGCAATGTTTGTCTTGTTTAGGACTTAAAGTTGGAACACATTGATTGTGTCGCCATTGGTTTTAGTCTTTATGCATCTTGCTTAAGCTAATAGTTGATGTAGCTCATACTGCTTAATGACATTGAATGTAATTATATCCTAAGAGTGGTATAAGTCTGCCACTAGCTTAATTGAAGCAAATTTCATTTAAAGCTTTACTAAGCGGAGCAATACGGGTTTTTTTTGGTCTGATTTTTCTCATATTGGTATTAAGGTAAATTTTTTGGTGGTTTTCACATGTAGCATGACCATTGATTGTTCTAGTAATGTGTCACATCATATGTGGCTGGGAAGGGGTGGCCTTTTGGAGTCCTGAGGAGTATTGTTCTACCTGTCTACCAGGATACCTTTCCAGGTAAATGCTGGTATATTGGCTATATTACCCGAGGGACGTTCATTTACTTTTAGTGTGAATTTCATTTATAAAATAAGTTTGATATTACTCATGTCTTTAAAACAAGTATAAAAAATTACCACTTTTCTTTTTGACTAACCTTTGCCCAAGAACTATAATGGTGGTAAGGAAGGTGAAGTCATTTTTTGTACTTCTTACTATTAATAGATCTTATACCAAGTGCTCTATGGAAACGTGTCTGTTTAACCTGTAATAGTAGGGTCAGTTATAGAAGGTGTCAGTATTTGTCTTAAAAATATTTGTGGTAGAACATATATAGTTTTCCATATCACTATTCTAGGAGTTATATATTAATAATTACTAGTCTAATAAAATACCAAATTTTCAGCATCAGGGAGACCAATCAGGGAAATAATATTCTACACATAATGCTGTAGAATAATTACCCAAGAAGATATTTTTCTGATATTATATAGCCTGGGAATAGTTTTGCCAAATTATTCCTGAGTCTATTTTATATTTATCATTTGTTAAAAAAAAAAAACACCATAATTTTCACGGACACAGTACCTTGAAAAATAATTGTGGCCCACAGTATTTTGAATGTTGGCTTTCTTAAACATGATTATTTTAAGTTCAACCTATTTATTTTATTCTGAGTCTGTGGATATGTAATAATTTGCTTTCATTCCCCTCCACCACTTTGTTTTATAGCGTTTGACTATAGAAGAGGACCTATATAAATGAATGACAAAGCCTTTCTTATTTTTGAGCCCTCAGTCCTTATAAGCTCATGGCCATTGAGCAGAGTAAATCCTATTATTGCTGTGTTTACAACAGTATTTTCTAGATTTTTATTTGTGTGTACAAAATATCCCTTGTGTCTTGTATGTTCATGTGATATTTACTAACTTTGTCATGAAATTTTTATTGTTTGAGAACATGGAAAATTATATGAAAGAATTTTTGTTGTTACTGTTTTATGTTTTGAGTTTGGGTCAAAATTTCCAGCTTGAGAAAGTCTCAATTTTGTGAAACTTGAAAAAAAGTGTTTAACTTTTAGTTCCAAATGTCATGAAAATGAACCTGACTTCTCTTTTCCTCCCCACATGCTTTCATTTTTCTTTAGAGTGCTAAGGGATCAATCTTAACTTGCCCAACTGCATATGTAAGGAGAAAACTCTGGAGAACGCCCCAGCCAGACTTCAAAAAATTAGGAATAACACAAAATGGCCCTCAAACTCTTAAACTTTAGATTTTTAATGTCGACAAAATTCTCATTATTGCTTTTTGGCAGGGAAGTGATTTAGAAGAATGAAATGAGAATATTTTTTACCCCTCTCCTCTTTTTAGCCTTAACTAAACTGGAGACATGTAACTATTTGTAGTGACTTTTCATTTTACTATGCAGTGACTGCACAGGCATGACATATCCTAGCTACTGTTATCATGATGTTATTATGCATAAAAGTATTATTTCTATTTTTATGGACAAGTTGTTTTGTATGGGCACACTCTGTTAAAATGCACCATTATGTCATTGTTTCAACAAACAGCCATACGTAGCAGTTATTGGCAATTAGATAAGGAAAAATTTTAAGACAACCATATAATGGTGTTTATTTCGAGCTGTTTATCCTAGTCGATCAGCCTCAGAACCAGAAAGGAAAATGCACAGTATTGATTTTAATCTGTTAGAATTTTCAGATTTCATTCATGCAAACATGGCTCCTGCCATAAAAGTTGCTCCAACTGTTACAGTATGAATTATTCTAGAAAGGAGTTTTCTTGCTCCTTGTCACCTGGCCCTGGTGGTGGCAGGCTGAGCACGAGGACCATACTGGGCCGGACCCTCCGAGAAGTTTCTGCAGCATTGAAACAAGGCCAGATTATACCAGTAGAGCTCTGTCAAAAATGTCTTTCTGTTATCAAGAAGACCAAATTTCTAAATGCCTACATTACTGTAACAGAAGAGGTGGCCTTAAAACAAGCTGAAGAATCAGAATAAAGATATAAGAATGGTCAGTCCCTTGGGGATTTAGATGGAATTCCTATTGCAGTAAAAGATAACTTTAGCACGTCTGGCATTGAGACAACATGCGCATCAAATATGCTGAAAGGTTATGTACCACCTTATAATGCTACAGTAGTTCCGAAGTTGTTGGATCAGGGAGCTCTACAAATGGGGAAGACAAATTTAGATGAGTTTGCTATGGCCTCTGGAACCACAGATGGTGTATTTGGACCAGTAAAAAACCCCTGGAGTTATTGAAAACAATAAAGAGAAAAGAGGAAGCAGGAGCCACATGGTGAGAAGGAAGATTCAAATTGGCTAATAACTGGAGGAAGCTCAGGTGGGAGTGCAGCTGCCACCTCAGCATTCACGTGCTTTGCGGCTTTAGGATCAGATACAGGAGGATGGACCAGAAATCCTGCTGCCCATTGTGGACTTGTTGGTGTCAAACCAAGCTATGGCTTAGTTTCTCGTCATGGTCTCATTCCTCTGGTGAATTCAATGGACGTGCCAGGAATCTTAACCAGCTATGTGGATGATGCAGCAGTTGTGTTGGGTATACTGACTGGACATGACCCCTAAGAGTCTACCACAGTCCAAGATCCTGTTAAACCATTCATGCTTCCCAGTTTGACAGATGTGAGCAAACTATGTATAGGAATTCCAAAGGAATATCTTGTACCAGAATTATCAAGTGAAGTACGATCTCCTTGGTCCAAAGCCGCTGACCTCTTTGAGTCTGAGGGAGCCAAAGTAATTGATGTGTCCCTTCCCCACACAAGTTATTCCATTGTCTGCTACCGCGTATTGTGCACATCAGAAGTGGCATCGAATATGGCAAGATGTGATGGGCTAGAATATGGTCACAGATGTGAAATTGATGTGTCTACTGAAGCCATGTATGCTGCAACTAGACGAGAAGGGTTCAATGATGTGGTGAGAGGAAGAATTCTCTCAGGAAATTTTTTCTTATTAAAAGAAAACTATGAGAATTATTTCATCAAAGCCCAGAAAGTGAGACGCCTCGTTGCTAATGACTTTATGAATGTTTTTAACTCTGGAGTAGATGTCTTGCTAACTCCCACCACCTTGAGTGAGGCACTACCCTACTTGGAGTTCATCAAAGAAGACAACAGAACACGAAGTGCCCAGGACGATATTTTCACACAGGCAGTAAATATGGCAGGATTACCAGCAGTGAGTATCCCTGTAGCACTCTTAAACCAAGGGCTACCAATAGGACTGCAGTTTATTGGGCGTGCATTTTGTGACCAGCAGCTTCTTACAATTGCCAAGTGGTTTGAAAAACAAGTACAGGTTCCTGTTGCTCAACTTCAAGAACACGTGGATGATTGTTCATCAGTCCTTGAAAATGAAAAGTTAGCTTCTATTTCTCTAAAACAATAGAGATAAATGTATCATGCAAATTAAAATGACGTTTAGAAATTCTGTTCTCTAGAGAGTCAAATGATCTTGCTCAATTCTTGTAATTAGGTTCATTCTCAATACAGTCTTTCCTTGGAATCACAAAAAAAAAAAAAGAAAAGAGTTTTCTTGGTTCTATAAAGATAGAGCTGACTCGTCTTCTTCTGTTCCCCAGAGTACTCTAAAAATGAGCTAGTTTATGGCTTTTAATAAAATTATTTATACTTTATGCCAAATATAATAAAGCAAAATAGTCCCAAGAAATATTTCTTCTAGAATCTCTGTATGATCAGAAAATCTGAAAATTGTTTTCTCCATGTCGTGTCTAAGGCAATAGGTGTGTGTGTGTGTGTGTGTGTGTGTGTGTGTGTCGTAGTATTGTGAGTACTTTGAAGGGCAGGGACTCCTCTTTGTCTAGTCCACAAAGCTGCACACATAACAGGTACATAGCAGGTGCTCAATAAAATTGGAGACATCAACTTTTGTTAAAATACTTAATGTAGATTTATTTTCTCTCCAGACCACTTCCGCTCATATTTTATCTTAGAAGTCCAGTTATTGCTCTCTTGGTGAGCTGAGAAGGAGCTCGAAATGAACAGCTGCTGTTTCTCCCCCAATGGATATGTGGCTGAGTTCTACAGATAATTTTAAAAAAATTCCTAGTATTGGTTTGGGGGTTGGAGCTGGGGTTGTATCAGTGTCAGAGAAAGGACTTGTTTGCCAGACTTAAATTTTCTCACCAGGGCTTCTCCATTTGTCAAAAAGGACTTCCTTAGTCTGGCTTGTCCTCCTGAATTGAATCTTTCATGAACCAGCTCAATTCTGTAAGTGCATCTAATTTTTTTATAAGTATAAAAGGGAACAATTATTTGCATTTGAGTGAGTATGAATAGCAAAAAGATTTCCTTTTCTGGGTAGCGAAAAGCCAGGAAATAGATAAAGAAATTACTTTCAGTGTTTCTTGAAGGATAGCTCAACAAATATCAAATGCTGTTAGAAAACCTATGAAAATATTGACTTCACGGTGCCTAATTTCTTTCTGTGTAGTGGATCTACACCAGATATGAGGCAATTTCCATTTAAATAAATGCCCCTAAAGCCTTCAAAGTATTTATAGAGTGTTTGCTTTGTGCACTGCATGATAACACCATGAATTACTCTTTGCTTTTCTAGTCAATTTAGCTATAAGATTAAAAACAAAATTATTTTATTTTCCCAAGACAAAAATTAATTGCAAATGTCTTATAATACCAGTTAATAGACTGTTGTTTTTATTAGTCTATAAATACTATACTTCCATTTTTCACCTGAGTGCCATTTTCACATAAATTAAATCCTAAAGAATAAAGAGGAATTGGCATCCAATTAAATTGGAGCTTATTTTATTATATACCCTCCTCCCAGAATCTCCTTCATCCCCCTCCCCAGTTTTATATAGGGGATTATATTCTTTCAAAACATAAATATGCCAGAAAAGTTATGTGTTTGTTTTTTTTTAAGCCCAACAAACCATCCTACATTATTCTAGTTTCTGTTTAAATAATCCCTATAGCCCTATTTGAAAATGCAAGAAACTGTTTAGGTAAAAATTATAACTAGTGGAATGCCAAGGCAAAATTTATTATATTTAACAGATAACTTTTATGATGAATTTATAATAATACTAATATATTGGGGGCTCTTAACTGTGGCCAGGAACTGTGTTAGACATTTAAGTGCATTTTCTTTTGTAATACAACAGCCCTATAAAGAAAATATTATTCTTCCCATTTTAAAGTGACAAAATTTGCCTTAAGTTATGAGACTCATGTCTGTCCACTCCAAAGCCATGCTTTTATTTTTTTTAATATTTATTTTTTATTTTTTTTGAGACAGAGTCTCAGTTGTTGCCCAGGCTAGAGTGAGTGCCGTGGCGTCAGCCTAGCTCACAGCAACCTCAGACTCCTGGGCTCAAGCAATCCTGCTGCCTCAGCCTCCCAAGTAGCTGGGACTACAGGCATGCGCCACCATGCCCGGCTAATTTTTTTCTATATATGTTAGTTGACCAATTAATTTCTTTCGATTTATAGTAGAGACGGGGTCTCGCTCTTGCTCAGGCCGGTTTCGAACTCCTGACCTCCAGCAATCCTCCCGCCTTGGCCTCCCAGAGTGCTAGGATTACAGGCGTGAGCCACCGCGCCCGGCCCAAAGCCATGCTTTTAAATGCTGCATCACACATACCTCTGTGATAGTCTCTGGTAGGAGAGATCACATTTAAAGTTATCAGTAAGTTCCTTTATGTCCTGCACACTCAACCACAAGCTCCCCTAAGTACCATTTGTAGATTCGTTAGACTTAAACACAAATGTAATGTTCATATCACAATAATGACAATATACTTTTCATAACATAATAATTATAATGCTGCATGCTGGATATCATTACTGTACACTTCACACATATACTCATTCCTCATGACAATTTAAGAGATAGGTTCTCTTATTTCCCTGTTGTCCAAAGGTGGCTACTGAGGCTTGGTACAAGGTTAGTAGATGGCAGGATTGGATTAAATCCAACCCCCTCCCCCCAACCAAAAGCAGAAAAATGAAAATTATAGAGAAGCTTAAGATCATCTGTAACTTTTATCACCCAAGTAGAACCACTTTCAACTGAGTTTCTTCTTCCGAATCCCATGCCTACACATGGCTAGATATGTAGATACGTAAGTAAACTACTCTTGTAGAAAAATCGAGTTATACTATACATAATGTCTGGTAACTTCTTTTCCACTGAACAACAAATGATGACAGTTTTTCCTGTCAATAATGATAGTTGTCCATTGTTTATTAATAGCCAGATAGACATGGATTAGAGGGTTATTCCTTAATTTAGTTAACCCCTCATAGTTGGACACTTGGGTTCTTGTCTTTTTGTGCTATTAGATCCAAATGGAGTTGAGTTTGTGATGTCGCCCTTCAAGAATATATCAAACTTGACATCAGCAAATCCTCTCGTGGCGTATGGGACAGACTGGTGTGGAAAGCCAGCTAATCGAGTTGAAGCAAAAGCCTTAGTTCAGTTAAACTTGGGATAACACTTATAACCAAGACGGATGTCTAAAGAAACATGACAGCTCTAGTCTTCCCCTTGCATGTGACACAATTCTCCCTGTGTCCTTTCTTACTTGTGGTGTGGAGGTAGACCCTGTCTCCTATTCTGCAGCTGCCCTCCAGCTATGGCTGTGCCTAGCAGTAAATAAAGGATGAATCTTAACTTCTGCTGTTGTCCTCACTGTGAATATTCCAGGAGATGGGAAATGTTGTAGTAAATATATACCTAAGGCAGAGCCTATCTTTTTCTCAGAAACACTCATCATTTATCCATTCTAAAAATATTTACCAATTGCTTCCAACGTGTCATAAATAGTCCTTGCCCTCCAGAGTAAACAGCGTGGTAGGGGCATGTCAGTTCGGATGCCGGTGGCTGCAGAAACTGAAGTTCCCATGCGTCTTGGCCAAAAAAGGACGGTCACTTATTGTCTTACATAACAAATTCGTCAGTGGGGCAAGCTGCAGGGCTGATTCCATTACCCCACGACTCTCAGTTCAGCCCTCCTTTGCAGGGCTCTGTCCTCAGGCCGTTTGTAAGATGAATGCAACAGTCTGAGTTTCACATCCTGACGTTGTCGTATTGACCAGAGGTGGAAATAGCACTGTCTCTTATGATGTCTCTCTTTAAGAGCAAAGAAACGATTCTTAGAAGCCTTGCCACCTGTAGGCACCCCTTACAGATCTCACTGGGCAGGTCTGGGTGGCCTTCCCACCCTTTAACCAGAGATCAGTGACCTCCCTTTAATCACTGACCCAGACCCACCCACTAGTGCTGGGTAGGGTCATCCTCTAGGAAGCTCATGGTCTGGTGGCGAAGAGATGGATATCTGAGCACGATCTGTGATCTGCTAAGAAGGGAGGTGGGCGCAAAAGGGTGCAGCACTGTCTGTCACAGAGGAAACTGGCTGCGGCAGTGACATGCATAATTATCCAGGCAGGTAGACCAGGAGGTATAGAGCCCTTGGGGCAGACGTGATGAGTTTCTTATATTCGAAGACTAAAGCAAGGAGGAGAATTGGAGTCCATGAATGGCTGGAGATGGGGCAGACCGTGTGATCCTGAGTTAATGTGAAGAATCTTGGGCTTTAAGAGCAAGGGGACCCACAGGGGCTTTAGGGAAGAGCAGTGGCATGCTTTGACTCATACGGATGAGAGATATTCCTGGCTGCTATATGGAAGGCTTAGGGAGCAGTAGCAAAAGCAAGAACACAGCAGCTGGTGGTGCGGACAACTGGTCTACCTGAGGAGAGAAGTGGAAGAGATGGGAAATAGTTAATACCGGTAGTTACTTTTGACCAGTCTTGGCAATGAGTTGGATCTGGCAGAGGTCAGGGAAAAGGGTACCTTGAGGGTTTCTCTATGAGCAATTATTAGGCCACTGGCATTGTCATTACTGAAGAACGATCAAGTCCATGTCAATAATAATTCGCTTTAGATAGTGAATCTGAGGTGCCTGTGAAATATTATTGGAAGATGAAGAGTGGTAGTAATACTAGCAGTGATTCAGACAGTGTTCCACATATTTTATTTGTATGAAATAATCTAATTCTCACGATAACTTCATGAGGCAGATGCTGTTATTATCCCCATTTCACAGATGTGGTAAGTGAGACCCAGAGTTGAGCACCGTGGCCAGCATTACACAGCTGATAAAAATTGTAATAATTAGAAGAGTCTTCTAGGCTGAAAGTATGCATTTAGAAATACTCAGATTATCAATGCTAATTAAGCCATGGGTGGTAGATGAAATTGCCTAGGGAGAGTTGAGCCCTGGGAAATTCCATGATTTAAATCAAAGCCTGAGAGATACAGAAGTACTATAGAGGACGGGGGAAGTCGATCTATAGGTCTGTAAGTCTTCCTATAGATCGGCTTCTTTTAAATGAATGTTCAAGTGTTAACATTTTTTAGAAAATCATGGAAGCGTTTGGCTCCTTTACAAACTAAGAAACTGCTTATAGAAGGTTCTGAAATTCTGCCAGAGAAAGTGAAATATGGACATGTATGTTAGCACTTGATGTTCTGCCACTTACAAATTATATAGTTTGTCTAAACTCAGGCAAGTTACTTCTTTGCATTAGGATCTGGTTCAGCTGCATAAAACATACTGAAAATAGTAATAACTCACACAAGAGAGGGATTTATTTCTGTCTCATGTGAGAGAGGCGCAGAGGCGGTCAGTTCAAGGCTGCTGTGTATGGTGGCTCCACAAACTTCATAAGGACCAAGCTGACCCCCGATTACTATTCCAGCATTACTATGAGGTGGCCCTTGTCCTCAAAAGTGGCTGCCACATTCCAGCCATCATATCTCTGATCTAGAAAACTGGATAAAGGGAAAAGCAGATCAAGGAAATGACGCCCTCTTCTTCTTAAGCGGACTTCCCAGAAGTCACTAGCAACACTTTGGCTTACACCTCATTGGCCAAACTTGATAATACGGCCACACATATCCTCAGAGGAGGCTGGGAAGCAGTCTTTTAGCAGGGCAAGAAAAATCAAGATGCATTCGCTAAAAAGAAAGGAAAGAATGGATTTGATGGGCAACCAGCTGTCTCTGCCACTGCCGGTTTGCTTTTTTGTAAAACAAGGTTTAAAATATTCACTTCACCTCTCTTATGGGTGAAGACTAAATTTCCGAATAGCCAAGATTGATACGTGATTGGTCTGCAGTAAAACTTCTCATCAATATTGCCTACTCTCTGCTGAGCTCAGGCACCTTCTAAGGAAGTCTAAGGAATGTTTTCCGGTAGCTAAAGTAGAACAATCATTTGCAGGGACAGCAGCTCTTGTCATTAATCCACCTGGTCCACTCTATCCTGGCTTATTGGTAACATAGTTAGGATTCTAGTCTGAGGTCCCTCATGGTGACTGCTTTTAAGAGAGTGGCTCTTTAATTCAGAACCTAGTTGCAATCATCATTAAGAAGCGGAATGCAAAGCAGGTCATTTTAAAAACGGTAGCTATTTAGCATGCTTGGAGATTCCCAGGCATGGGTAAAGGTAAATGAAGTTTCTTTTCCTATTAAAATAAATCTAGTGTACTCAGAAAATATCTGTGAATATTGATATTCTTTTTAAATTTTGAGTTTGGCTCCAGAAACACATGATACTTTTGCATTAAATAATTATCTTTAAGATTATTCCGCCACACACGGCAAAGAGTTTCTATTATTTTTCACTATGTTTGTGCTTAATATGTCCACATCTATTTCAGATTCCTCTAAAAATGAAATAGTGTCTGGTTTTGTGTGGTACTTTTCATTTTAGGATTTTAAAGAGTAGGAACTTCCTCTTCTTTTATGCAAACCCCATCCTGTAATTCGAGTTGCACAATAAATGCTTAACTGTTTGCAGGGTCGATGTGTTGTAACCTCACACACTCGTGAGCCTTGGGACCGCCCAAAGGTGCCTGAAGGAACAGGTATGAGGGCAGGAACCCCTGACATCAGCCTATTCCTTGTGACCACCCTTTTTTCCTTTTCTTGACCTGACGCCTCATTGTTGAATGCTTAAACATTTTGGGAAGGGAAAAAGAGATGAGCATAAGTAGAGCTAATTTAGTTAGGACATGTTTCATTATATAGCTTACAGGAAAACTGAAAAGATGATATATAAATTAAAACCATATTGCAAGTAAAGCAGGAAAAATTGGTTGGCAGATTGTGAGCCCAAATTCTAGCTAACAGTTCAACTTGAGTAACTTGGGGAAATTTTCCGCTCAGTTTCTTGGATGCTTCAGAGCGTGAGTCCTCTTAGATAGTTATTAACTGCACTTTTTGATGCCTTCCCGGTGAGGCACGGCAG